CAGTCAAAGATGCCGTGGATGGTCTTCGCCAGAAACTCATCCCGGATGGTTTGCCAAAGTATGTCCCAGGACTACTGGAGTACTGCCTATCGTCGACATCTTTTAGCTGGAAAGGAGAATCACCTCTGTCACCTGTGATCGCCAATTGGATTACCAAAAGTCCATAAACCAGAAGTCCTATTGTCCAGTGCTATAAATTGTCCCACCTATCCACTAGCAAAGTACATTGCCAAGATTCTGTCTCCTTTTACAAGTAAAACAGAGTCATATGACAGATTCCACACATTTTGTAGAATCGATCAGGAGTATTAAGTTAGACCCACAGGATTATTTTGGTAAGTTGCTACGTAAAATCAAGTGGCTCTATTCACCAGAGTAGCAGTCAAAGATGCCGTGGATGGTCTTCGCCAGAAACTCATCCCGGATGGTTTGCCAAAGTATGTCCCAGGACTACTGGAGTACTGCTTATCGTCGACATCTTTTAGCTGGAAAGGAGAATCACCTCTGTCACCTGTGATCGCCAATTTTTTTTCATGGAGATGTTTGTAGCGGAAGCGTTAGTATTAATTCTATAAACACACAGATTGGGCCGAGTTTTTGTATAAAGAAAAATGAAATCCAACCATTAATGCTTTTTATTAAGATTATATTAAACTATGTTAAAACCTCAAACCTAAAAATTTAACATTTTGTGATATTCCTGGAAGCAAGGCACTACACATATTCCGACGTTACAGTCTTCGCACATGTACCGAGGCTCCTTTCGACGCCTTGCTTTTGTTGTCGTTTGCAAACATACTACACAAACACGGCAAGCATGTTTCTTTTTTTCTGTAGCCGGCACCATTGTTGGAAAATGACGAGCGGTCAAGCGCTTCGGATTATTTGTTGACGTTAACGGACGACTACCATTTTATTTGATGAAGGGCACATGAAGGAAATCAACCAACGAAGGTTTCTTTCCAGTTTTGGTAAGATATAACACATGAACATTAACATTTTTTCTCATGCTCTTTAGTTTGCTCAGCATCATGTCTGATATGTCAATCAACCCCATGTTTTAGTTATAACAATACAAAAAGATTTTCTGTTTTTGGTTCGCACTAGTACTTCCCGCTTGTCTTTGCATTTGACGATCAATATAGTTTCCGCACAGAAGCTCTCAGTTTCGCCTTTTGTTATTTTAGTGGAGTGTGTCAAATAATATTGGACTAGTGTACCAGTTGTCAACGTATTATTTATGGCCTTTTCCTATATGTGGTACCAAAAGCGTTGTGTCCACATCTCAAAAAATATTAAGACGGAACGTATATATGTATATTATATTCACAAGCATGTGTAAATATACGTCACTAAGAAGTCACGAATGTCTGATACTGAACTGATACGGAACTGACACAATACTGATATGTGTAAATCCACCTTAATGATCGACCTTCCAATAGTATGTGAATATAAATAATAGTCTGATCCTATAAATACGGGACCGTTGTGTTGTGTATGAACATCATATCCAGTAGTGATGGATCGGAGAAAGAACGATCCTGTAATACTAGGCGCTGTGTGAACTTACCGCTATTCCAGCGAGCAGAGAGGATATGTGATAAACAGAACCTGAGGTAAGAAGAAAGATTCCTAGAGGATGTACTGCAGAAGGACGGCTATACTATGAGAGATATCTAATGAGCCACCAAACCACGCAAAAAGAATTATGACTCTGTAAGTACACCAGCCGGTTTTATCTGCCTTCCTTATGTTTCATGTGTGACGGAGCGATAGCGAGGTGGCTGAAGTCAGCAAAATACAAAACGCTCTTCCGACAGCCAAAGACAAACTAACCCCATTAAATGGAGGCTATCGTGCAGTTCCGGGAAGTATTACGTTGGCCAAACTGGACGTAACATTGAATGCCGCATCAAGGCAAGGTTTATATATAAGAGGTTGTCTAGGTTCGTACGCAATCGTGTGGAAAATAATGTGGAAAATAATACCGCCAAGCAATTCAAATTAAACAAAGGCATGGAGCACCACATGGCCATGAGGTTGCGTGCGCAATCCGTGATCGCTTACGTCACGAAATACTCCTGCTCTTGCCCCTCGCCCACAAACTAAAATCAAAGTATTGCAGCATAGGAACTTAGACAACCTTTAATATATAAAACTTGGCATCAAGGAACATGAGAGGGATGTCCAACTAAGTAAAATCCAGTTGCAGAGCGTTGCCACAAAGACACGAGCCAAAATGGCGGTTTGACAGCTTGTCAGTGCATGTCTCCACTTATTTACAAAAATAATGCCGTGCAATGTTGCCTTTGGAGTTGCAAAAATAGCAGTAAGAAGAACTTTAGACTCTTGAGAGTACCACGAGAAAAAAAAGAAAGGAAATTTGGCGTAATTTTATCAACAGAACGACAGTTTTAAATTTCCCGCTTGACTTTTGAGCCAAAATGGCGGCAAACCGCGGTACTTTGATAATCTAGGGACTTTAATCGACATGGGAATAACATGAATAGAGAAGATGCTAGTGAACTCAACGCAACCATCTCCACCCGGATTTGACAAAAACAACTTAGTTGACAATTAGACACTAATTAGTTATTAATTATTTTTTCATGTTTTGTCACTTTAACCTTGTTTCTGAAGAAGATTGCAACATGGCATCAAAATTTTTTTAGAAAACAACTCAAAAGTTTCTATTTCTAGGTCTATTATTAGTTCTAATTTTAGTTTAATTTGTAAAATTAATGAAAATAAATTTAAAATATATTTTTTTAACCTGGTTCACAAAGTTGGAGATAAACAACATTTTCCGTATCTTGTAATGAATCACAAAGTTTTGATAAAACCTTACAATTCTCCAAATACGTGCAACCATGCTCCGTTTCGGCGAAAGTTGAGAGCAACTCAATTATATTTAATTGAACCAAAACATCCTTTGAGTTTAATTCATCTATAACATCCCTTAAAAATCCATTTTTCTCCATTTCAATAGCTAAATCAGGTGATATTTTCGCTATGTTAATAACGACTTGATGAAATCGGATCCTATTCATTTCATTCGATGATGTAACCTCAACTAGGATTGGATTAACTTCCTGGGAGATTAATAAATTAATTCCTTGAGGTGTTTTACATATTTCTGAGACTACATCGCAAGCAACTGTTGCAACAGAAAGATTTTCATCACCGATACATTTAACAACGTAACCATACAAAGTTTTAAAATTAACCAAACTAATCTTATTAAAAATAAATTTAGAATCACGTAAAATCTCGTTTAAGGCCATTATTTTAACTTGGGCGTGAGGATGGTTTAAAGCCCTTCCTAAATCGGTGAAAAAATGAGATGTTCCATCACCCAAATCTAAGGTACTTAAACACACTGTAAGTACCTCACATGCTAATTCAATTTGTTCACTAAAAAAAAGGATTTTCTAAATAATTATTTAATAAAAAGGATTATTTCTTACTCGCTTGAATCGTTTAAACAATCAAAAACGAGAGGTAGCTGTAAAAGGGTTGTTGTCTCTTTCGCTTCATCATGAGGTAAACTTGAGATGTAATCTTTTATGTCGTTTAAGACCGGTATTCTGTTATCTGCAGTTTTTAAAAGTTGAGATTTCTCTGTACACCAGATTTCACGAGACATGATATCGGCGTTTTTTAAAATGACAAGCAAGAAAATTGTCTAACCTCAAATTTTGATGTGACTAACTTCACATCGTTAACTAAATTTTTAATTTAATTATCGCTTTATTGTTTAATAAATAATAATATAAAATCGTTTATTTTCTAATTTGATTATTAATTAATGTCTTTAATATGAAAAGCTATTAAATAAATTTTTAGTCTGGTTGAATTTAAAAAAAAAAGTTTTTCTTATCCGAAATGATAATTTTCTAATTTGTAAATCTAATTTAACATTTCCGTTCTATAAATCTATTAAGATAAGAAAACATAAATAATTCAATCTAATTGATAAATAAAAGGTATTTAAGCAAAAACTAACTTACTACAACCGACAGTTTTAATTTCCCAAAATGTACTTTTTAACAATAACATTGTTTTATTTACAATTTATCCTTAACTGCAACGGTACTATTTTTCATATTAATCAAATTTCTTTTTATTTTTTTCATTTTATTAGGAAACGTAATTCAGCAAGACATAGATGGCAGAATCGTGGGTGGTATCCCTGCTAATATCGAAGATTTTCCATATCAAATTTCATTACAATATAGAGGACAACACGCTTGTGGTGGATCAATTATAAGTTCAAAATTCGTTGTTACAGCTGCTCATTGCACAGATGGGTAATAATTTATTTCCTTAATAATCCATAAAAATTAATGAATTATTTTTAAGTGCAAAAGCGGAGTCTTTATCAGTTAGGGTTGGTAGCACTTCGTATCGAGATGGCGGGAAAATAATTCAAATTCAAAAAATTATTCAACACCCTTCCTATGATAACAGCGTTATCGATTATGATGTTTCAATTCTTGAGTTAAAAGATGAATTGGAATTTAATGAGAACGTCCAAGCGATTAAATTAGCTGAAAATGATGTTGGGCCGAATCATTTTGCCGTTGTTAGTGGATGGGGGACTCTTAAAGAGGTTAGAAATTCCAATTTAATTATTATTATAAAAATATTTTTGTATATTTAGAATGGCAAACTTCCGAGCGAACTACAACAAGTTTTTGTGCCGATTTTAAGTAATGAAGAATGTAGGGATTTTTACGGGGAAAAACGTATAACAGATCGAATGTTATGTGCTGGTTACACTGAAGGTGGGCATGATTCGTGTCAAGGTGATTCAGGTGGCCCTTTAGTTTATAAAGACACCTTAATCGGAATCGTTTCATGGGGAATCGGATGTGCGAGGCCAAATTACCCCGGAGTTTACACCAGTATATCAAAAATTCATCAATATTTAAACGAATACATAATTTAAAATCAAAATTTTGATTATTTTATGTTGGTATTAATAAAAGCGTTTTAAACTTGACATTTGTCATGTGTTTGACTTTCGTTAATTGACTTATAGGTTAGGTTCACATCAACAAAAACAAACCCTTTTTAATAAAAAATCTTAATGATCTCACCCCTAAATCGGTTTTTATATTAAAAATCATGGAAGATAATCAAAATGTTACGTTTGATGTTGAAGGAACGTTAATTAAGTGTAAAAAGATTGATTTAGTAGAAAAAAGTGATTATTTTAAGGTTATGTTACACGGAGATTTTATTGAAAAAGATACAAATATAATAAAACTGCAGGTAAAATTTTATTAAAATCTCAATTTATATCAAAAATATTTTCTTTTCTTATAGGACGTTGATTTAAATTCGTTCAATATAATCCTAAAAACATTATGGGATGAATCATACTTAATTAACGATGAAGATTTATTAACAGTTCTCCAAACGGCGTCGATGCTTCAATTCAACCACATAAAATCGAATTGTATTGAGAAAATAACCGAGTTGTTATCCCCAATAAATTGTTTAACAATTTGGCAAATAACAGAACAATTAGATATAAAACCTTTAAATTTGAAAGCAAAGGCGATGTCTTTAGTGGAATTTGAAATAATAAAAGACTTGGATTGTTTATTAGAATTAAATATAAACCAGCTTTTTAAATATTTATCAAACACTAAGTTGCGCACAATAAACGAATTCCACGTTTTTGAATGTTGTATGAAATGGTTTTATGAAAACAATAAGAAGGAAAAGTTGTGCGAAAATTTTGATAAGAATAGGATTTTTAAAATATTCATGGCGTGTATTGATTTTAAAACGATTTCTGATGGATTTATTACGGAAATGTTGCTTTACCCAGATTTAAATAATGAAATTGTTTGTTTATTGGGGGATATTTTAAAAATTAAAGACTCTAATTTAAAAGAAATCGATTATGATGATGAATCGTTGAGATTTTTTAATAATTGCAAACAACGTGAAAGTTTTTATTCGCCTTGTTTAGTTATCGATAGTTTTCCAAGGAGTTTTAAAAGACAAAAAATCTCTTCAATGTGGTATTATGGTAAGTTAATTGTTGTGATTATAACTAGATATAGTTCGTCATATTTGTAGATAAGTTTAAAAGAAAACGACAAAGTTTGATTTTAGAGAATTCTCCAGAAATGAGTAATGCATCAACATCTAAAATTATCTTATTATATGGTAAATAAATCGTTTTATTATAAATAATTTTTGATAAATCTTTCATTTTTAGATGTTAAAATAAGAGATTTTTGCAAATTAATTAATATACCTCACGAGAAGCATTCTAATCTTCAAGGATTCGAATTAATTGGTTATAAAGAGTTATTATTTTTATTTGGTGGGGAGATTTCGTTAGGAAAAGGCAATTGGAACAATAATTTTTGGGTTTATAACACAATATGTGATAGATGGGAACGAAAATCAAAGTATTTATTATTATTTTTTCATTAATTGAAGAGCACTTTTCCAAAACTAAGTCCAAAATAATTATTTGTGGATATGACTTCTGTAAAAAGTTGTATAGAACACATTCAGTAGAAATGTGTTAATATGAATATTTAGGATTACTTCATTTTTTTCTTACAAACAATAGATATTCAATTCACAAATGTTAACCCAAAAGTAAACTAAGTTCTTGGACATGAGTAACGTTTGAAAAAATAACAGTAATAAATAAGCACAAAACAGCATTAACCCTTTGCAGTCTGCGCTACATTCGCAGTTTCATACCAGCCAGTCCGCGCTGAATTTGCAAGTCGCTTATCCGCTTGGTAGAGTTTACTTTGGAAAACATTCATGACCTTGCTAACGTAACGTACTTATAAATTAGTAGATATACAGGTGATTCAAAAAACCGCTAATAGACTTCTAAAGCAGGTAATACATGAAAAATTAAGACTGGTGTGAAGTTATCCATAAATCCCAGCCATAAACTTAAAATATTAATAACCAATACGATTTGGGTCACCAAATTTCACACACAGGTCACTCTTACCCTGAAGAACAGCTTACAATCCCCATTTGGTAAAAAAAAAATTTGGGCACCTTCGAATTAAACCAAATTCTACCACATAATAGAACACAGTTCTAAGTATTTTTATCAATTTTCAAAACACCAAAAAAAAAACAAATATTCTTAAAAATAAAACCAAAAGACAAAGAGTTATAAACTAAAAATAACTAAAGAAAACTAATCTATAATACGGAAAAACAAAACAAAAATATTCCCTTTTCTATATCTATAGTGCTCACTCATCATAACAAAGTCTGTTCACTGAATAAAACAGATCTCAAGTTGCGTGCAAATACCGCTGGTGGTGCCGATTTCAAAGTNCAAAGTATTTATTATTATTTATTCATTAATTGAAGAGCACTTTTCCAAAACTAAGTCCAAAATAATTATTTGTGGATATGACTTCTGTAAAAAGTTGTATAGAACACATTCAGTAGAAATGTGTTAATATGAATATTTAGGATTACTTCATTTTTTCATTTTTTTCTTACAAACAATTCACAAATGTTAACCCAAAAGTAAACCAAGTCCTTGGACATGAATAACATTTGAAAAAATAATAATAATAAATAAGCACAAAACAGCATTAACCCTTGCGGTCCGCGCTACATTCGCAGTTTCATACCAGCCAGTCCGCGCTGGATTTGCAAGTTCGTACCAGCTTGGTAGAGTTTACTTTGGAAAACATTCATGATCTTGCTAACGTAACGTACTTATGAATTACTAGATATACAGGTGATTCAAAAAACCGCTAACAGACTTCTAAAGCAGGTAGTTCATGAAAAATTAAGATGAATAGTCTTAATATACGTATATGTGCAGCAAATGCCTCCTTAACCCTTGTCCCAGTGCATAATTTTAAAACGTTAACAGGCGGAATAGGTACAATTGCACCTATTTTGATTTTTCCATGAAGATATCACTGAAAACAGTTTCTTCACTCAAGTTGATGCAGGGTAACCTCAGAGGACACCTCGAGATCCTCAAGGACCCATGTCTAAATCACGCGTGTGAAGTTGGCCATAGATTTCAGCCATAGATTTTAAACAGAAAAAAATGCGTGATCGGTGTATTCAATCGATCTAATTTCAACGGCATCGTATTCATGGTCGCCTCTTGTTTCAGATTCGAAAGAAAATTTTCCTAACCATTTCTTATTTTCCGGTAAAATCAATTTTCTTCAAACTTTCGCAAAATTCGGCTCGTTCGGGGTTTCTAATCGATCTAATTTCAACGGCATCGTATTCCTGGTCGCCTCTTGCTTCAAATTCAAAAAGTAAATTTTCCTAACCATTTCTTATTTTCCGGGAAAATCGTTTTTCTTCAAACTGTCGCAAATTTCGGCCTGTTCGGGGTGTCTAATCGATCTAATTTCAACGGCATCGTATTCTTGGTGCCCTTTTACTTCAGATTCAAAAAGAAAATTTTCCTAACCGTTTCTTATTTTCTGGGAAAATCGTTTTTCTTCAAACAATTACAAATTTTGGCCTGTTCGGGGTTTCTAATCGATCTAATTTCAACGGCATCGTATTCCTGGTCGCCTCTTGCTTCAAATTCAAAAAGAAAATTTTCCTAACCATTTCTTATATTCCGG